GATCAAAGCATTTTTCGCTGGTAAGCATAACTCTTGGAAAAATAATGATCTTCATGGAAAGTATATTGTTTCAAAGAATATTCGAAATGGAAGATAAAGATTAAATTCTAATGAATACATTATCAAGAAGAAAGGCTGAAATCTGAAAAATCGAGCACTTTATTTAAGACCAGAGAGAGATGTCTTTTTCTCTTAACTTTTTCACTTTAGGTCTTTTTATTTAAGGCGATACAACGATTGGCCAGTCGCGGAAAAGCATCACATTGAGTTGCATAATATGCTATTACTTTGGAGAAAATGACGATAAGAAATACGCTTGCTAACTTCGACAAATAACAGGTTCTTGTCGCTATAAAATTGGGTTACGTTGAACCTGTGAGATTTTCTCAAAAACATTTTTAGAGGTTCCAAAGGTTTATTGAAAAAATGCAGCCTTCAAGGTTCATGCATATTTATAGTCTCATTAATTCAACATCTCGTGCGATGAATTTTCCAAAGTGATCCGATATTCGAAGTTTAGGAAATTCGTTTAAGCACAGTCATGCTTTATTGAAAATTACAAATTCAACGCTCAAATCTATTGGATAGATACTTCAAAAGATGCATGTTTGTTCGAAAAACTATAATTCGGGATTCAATCGAAATTCTTTTTGATATTATTGAAGTTGACCTCAGATTTCTCATGTCTCTCCTCCCATGATCCAACCAGATTCACTTTCTCAAAATATGAATATCTATTGGTTCGTACTCCGAAAGCCTGATTCCTTTTGGTTTCCCGTCAAGCAATAGGATTTCGAGGCGAATGGACCTTATATTCGAACTCATCGCGTCTGAAATCCCTGGAGTACTGTTTTTTGCGAAAACCAAATCTTGATTAGCTGGTTTCTTATTCTTAGCAGCTTTGGTTCCTACTAGTTTCCGGTCAACCAATAGGATATCGAGGCAAATGAACATCAGATTCGAACCTCCCGCCTCTAGAAACCCGAGAGTACTGTTTTCACGAAAACCCAAACTTGATTAGCTGGTTTCTTAGCAGTTCGATTCCTATTGGCTTCCAGCCAACCAATTCGATTTCGAGGCGAATGGACCCAGATTTGGACTCACCAACCTCGAGAACCTATGGTGACATGTCCTCTGTTCCATCACGAAGTGCCATTACGTAATTCTCGTATACTAATGAATGCTGCAATCTGAATGATTGGGCAGACAGGCAAAGATTTTCATGCGGAAGACCCATTTGTTCCTAAAAAGAAATAGCCCTTGAGCTACCCCTGGATGAAAGAGTATGCAATGCAAAGTTTGGTTGCTCTGGCTCCTACAGGGTGCAAATGCATAAAGAACAGAAGACAGACAAACATTTTTCTTTATATATTAGATCAACCAACCCACGATATCCAGTTAGACACCTAACACCGTGCTTTACTTTTTTCTTTTTCTTTTATGCTATGTATTATAATACGGATCGAGAAGGAAGCAAAAGAAGAAGTCAATACTATCTGTCGCTGTGCAAATATCAGTCACCCATATCGTCTTTACTTTTTTTCTTATTTTCATAGGATTTTTTAAATTTCTTTTCTCGTTCTTTTAATCACATCATATCATAAGCAAATAACAATAAAACCCCTCAAAAAAGAAAGAAAAAATAATTTTATGCATCAGTATCATAGTCATTCGTGTTTTGCACGCCACAAAAAATAACCTTATTGTCAAAACATGGGAATTAAAATAAATTCAGGTACGATATTAACGATATCCTATTAACTTACAATAATTTGACTCGTATCTTTTTGATGTCACATACCTAATTTCTGATGTGGGACTTGATCACTTCAGTATCTACTGTGAAAATAATTATGGATAAGATAATCACACGTGCAACGAACTCGATCAATAAAATATTGGACTCATTGCCAGACTGGAATTCAAATAGTACACGGTCTAAATTAATTGATACTCGTAATCTCCTTAATTGACTAATTGAATCGGATACGCCAAGAAATAACTGGATACATTTGTTCTGTCGCCAGTTGAACCGGTTACTGGATTATAGCAATTTCCTCTCATAGCAGTTTTGGATTGAGTTTTGTAATGACATCCTCTACGTACTAGAAGGAACAAATGATGAACAAGATGTGAGTAGTAGTTGGAACTGTTTTCTAAAAAGAATGAGGTTTGAAGATAAACTAGAGCAACGTGAGTTACACTTTCAACAGACTTCTGAAGAATGAAGAAGTTGGCGTCAACTATTTTGTGAGCATAGAGAATACATCCTACTCCGCCATGCTGAACATTGCGAATTAGTTCCACCTCCTGAATCAGTTCCACGGTATTCCAGGAACTCGATCAGCACTTGACACTACACACTGAAACGCCTCTGATCGATTTTTAGCAATTCCCGGAATTTCGGGAATTGAGTCAAGACGGAATTACTAGAAATTGGTAGGAATTCCATGCAATTTCGTGCAAATCTGTATTAGCTCAATTCCCGGAATTCCGTTACGGAATTACTTTTAGCCCTCCCCCTCACACAGTTATGCGCTTATACAGTCCTGGCTCAAATTATAAGACCATTTAATTTTGAGAGATTTGTTTGCTTGCTTTCGATTACTATAGATATTTGAGAAAAGAAAAGTTGATGTCACTGCATACATTCTGGTATGCTTTACTCAAATATGGGATCAGATTTCCTTAAGTCTATTGACAAGTTGGAGAATATAAATATTTATTAAAATCCTTCGATTTTTGCCTTGCCAAAATTATAAGACTACTATAACTGTTTTGTTATTAATGAACGAGAGAGACGTGAGTTTTACTTAAAAATTCCATAGAAAGTTAGAGAAGCTTCTTTTGCATATTTTCATAACAAAACAGTTTGTAAAATAATCTATATTTGAATTGAAAATAAAACTTTCTTAAACAAGCCAAAATGGCTTGAAAATGTCGTCTGAGCTTAGTTCCCTCGACTTTAGGGAGGGTCATATGAAAACAAGTAACGCTCGTCCGTGTGACTCGCTTGACCCTCGACTGTATATTCGGTTCTTTCAATGTTTTATACCGATTTACAGTCTACAACACAGCTAGTATCCAATGTTTCAAAAGAGTAGATAGGTGTGTGTACGCTGATATTAGCGTCAATCTCATTGTACACAATGGTCTGCGGTCCAGATGACCATTTTTGTCACAATTACATCTAATCAAGTGGATAGCTTCACATTTATACTCAACAAAAAACTTAAGAACTACACTGTGGCGGTAATAGACATATGTGCCTGGAAAAAGAGATTATAATAAGTTTTCTGCTAGGTAATTAATATGGGTTGTACTTTAACTTTATTTCACTTTACTGGATAAAGTAAAGGGTATCGACATTATCCGATAAGTAAAGTAAAACAAGGTAAAGTGAAGTATCTCTAACTTTACTGAACGAGTAAGATATCATAAAATAAGATAAAATGTGCACTTGACGTTTATTGCTTTATTAGTTTTTCTTAGTCACAAATCAAATTCTAATACGCCAGAAGTTGCGTCAAAATACTGATCGAAGGCTGCAAGAAATTTGAGCTTAATTTTATTATATCAGTGAGAGTCAACATTAGATCTCTGAATACCTTAAGGATGTGGGCGTGAGTGTGAGTGTGGGTGTGGATGTGTCTGTGAAGTAGATATGAATGAAGACAAAACACATACCCCGTCCCACACCTACATCCACATCTCACCCCCACCCCCACCTCCACACCCAACACTCACACCCACACCCACACTCACACCCACACCCACACCCACACCCACACCCACACCCAGAATCTTGGAACAGGGACACGTATCAACAAGACAGTGCATACAGCATGAAAATAACAAATCTTGCATCAAAAAGTGTTTTCCATTCGAATTCATCACCAAAACATCAATTCAGCTTCCATTTCAAATTTTTCAGCTATCATACTAAGCTCAGACGACAATTTCAATTCAAATCTGGACTATTTTACAAACTGTTTTGTTATGAAAATATGCAAAATGAGTTTCTCTAACTTTCTATGGAGTTTTTAAGTAAAACTCACGTCTCTCCCATTCATAAATACGAAAGCAGTTATAGTAGTCTTATAATTTTGGCCAGGTAAAATTCGAAGGATTTTAATAAATATTTATTTTCTCCAACTTGTCAATAGACTTAAGGAAGTCTGATCCCAAAGTTGAGTAGAGCATACTCGAATATATGCAGTCACATCGACTTTTCTTCTCGCAAATGTCTATAGTAATCGAAAGCGAGCAAACAATCGCTCTCAAATAAATTGTTTTATATTTTTGGACAGGACTGTAGATTATTTTTTAGGAATTGTAAGTCGTTCCGCTACAGAATTCCTGGAATTGAGTCAAGACAGAATTACAAGCAATTGGTAGGAATTCCATAGTCACACAATTCTCGGAATTTCGTCACGGAATTAGTTCGAGCCCTCATCCTCACGCAGTTATGCTCTGATAGATTATTCTCTAGGAGCTGTAAGTAATTCCATAAGGGAATTCCGAGAATTGGGTTAATAGGGAGTTGCGGGAATTGAGGCAATACAGAATTCTGGAAATTTAGTCGAAAAATCGGAAAGTGGTGTCGCGAAGTGACCAAGATCGAAGGAAAATATCAAGATAAGCTATATGTAGTTGCACATACATTTACAAAAACACGATTTTATTGTATAGCGCACTGGCGCCCTCTACGCGAGTGTCGTTTGTAAATGTCATCGTTGTTCAAATCATTTTGAGTTGCAAACAATATTCATGTACATTTGGATGTGATGCGTTTATGAACCTTATTTTGTTGCATACGCTAGTAGTGATTGTAATGCTATATCTCACAGGTTCAATCTCTTATAGTGCAATGCCATTATCATTGGTAGTGCATATTTTGTCTTAGATATTGTTGTTCTGTTTTTACTTCCAGATATTTGATCGTATGTTTCTGAAATCAACTTTCAAGTTCTTTTCAGATTCATTTGAAACAAAGCCCAATGAGTTTAACATTGAGGCATTTGAATGCTGATACATCTTGGTTAATTTTATTCGAAAATTTTAAAATATTACTCGATCCATGGCTATTCGGTTCACAAAGTGAATTTTGTCGTTACTTTTCAACTCAAGAGCATGCTGTTCGGCCGTCTATTCAAAATATAAATCGTGATCTTGGCATGCAGATTGATGCAATCATTATTTCGCATGAATTTACTGATCATTGTCATGAAAAAACATTACGTTCATTGTCCGCAACTATTCCAGTATTTGCCACCACTAATGCTAGTAATCTTATACGCCAGTGGAATTATTTTCAACATGTCTATGAAATTCCCTCGTTGGATGATCGGCCTGAAAATTTCACACTTTCCATGCTAAGTGGGCAACGATCAGAGTTGGGCATGCCTAGCACAATCAGTGTCGGATATATACGAGAAAAGGGATTGACGAATTTGGCATCATTGCATGGTGCAACATGCATATCGTTTCTTATAAACAAACAACAGTGGCGTAGTTTACTATATATACCGCATGGATGCAAACAAAGTTCGATTCACGACTGGTTAAATCAGCAATGTAACGTAAAGGTCAGTGTTCTTCTGCAAGGATTCAATCGGATTTATAATCCTATATGGCTCGGTGGTGTACTCAATTATGGATGCGAGAAAGCAGCCAAGCTAGCAGTAGCTGTCAAAGCACAATATTGGATAGCTACTCATGATGAGGATATATTATCAAGTGGACTAGTTTCCAAATTCATCAAACGAGACACTTCTTCGATCACCGATGCACAGATACAGCTAAACAAGTATCTTACTCAGAATACTGATCAACGCATAACTACAACTATTCATGACGTTCAAAATGGAGACTCATTGATAGTAGATTTAACAATCTGAAGCATAGTATGACTTGATCTATATACTTTCTCAGATCATAAAAAAGAGGTTCGCATCAATAAAACTTACCACATTTATTATTTAAGATCCGTATTTATACAAAATTGCAAGTAAATAGTGCAACCTAATAATTGTTTCACAACAAAGCAGTACTTACAGCACTGAGAGAGTAATGTCCATTACACATTGACAGAATCTTTTGATCGAGTCTTCGAACTGATTATTGTGTATTTCTGATAGTTGAAGAAAAATAATGGTAAGCTTCGTAGAATGAATTAAATGATCTAACAAGGAAGGGTCAACAGAACGAGAATAAATGATGAAATCATGATATACTTGCAATATTGGAGTTGTTTGTAGAAAAATTGCTTGTAGGATTGATTTTTCTGACTAGTTGATCGAATACGAGCTGCAGTTATAGTAGCGACCATCGCTGAAACACAATTGATTCCATATGAATTACAAAAAATAAAAAACCATTCAAAGTTCGATCAACCATCTGTAGGGATAAGTTAAGATGATCTTTGTGTCAGGATGAGTCATTGTCTATTACTAAGAGGAAGAGAAAGATTGTGGTATCATTAATTATTATAGTTCCTCAGAATCCAAATTGTCGAATTTTCTTTGGTAAAGGAGCCTAATTTGGGGGTTTGAGCATTTTTTTAATATAAAACTTGACTAACAGTTCTCTGGAGATGATAAATCGGATTCTATGAACCATTTAATAAAAATTCCGAGTTGATTTTTCTCGATCAGAGACCCTGTTTCAAGAAAATAGCATTTGTGGCGTACCAAGTGATCACGATTGGTAGAAATATTTACTGTAGTAAATAGAACCGCCTAAGTCCCTGTAGCATTGCTCACAAATGATGTCATGGCAGATTTATGAATTACAGCTTGTACAATCAAAACAACTTTTGTAGCTGAAATTCACATATTTAATCGATATTAAATTATGCATTGCAAAGCGAGACTCTTCGTTAGGACTTGGATAATTACGATTGAAACCATCTGTAGACCCATCAACTATTGTATTGTATTAACCAATAAATCTATTGCCTAGTACTCTACTGGAGAGTATTTATGTACTCTCAGGGGACCTGGTGCTGCTTGCGGTGCTGTGAGGGCGTCCCCTGGGGTCCAGGAGTCACTATATCTCATTATTGGGCTAGTCACCCGAATATGGGACGTTAAACAATACCTGACTACAGAAAATGAACAAACCAAACTTTTTACTACAACCAGATTAACACTATTTGGATCATGAAATGTCAGGTCGTGTTATCGGTTCACTAAACGCGAACTCATTGTTCGTCAGTTAAACCGGTATAAAATTCAGGTGACGGCACTGACTGAAACAAAAATACAGGATTCGGGTGTTTGTGTGATAACTGCATGGGGAAAAATCGAGACTTCAGTACTTCACCGTACTTCACGTGTACTTCACCGTACTTCACTGTACTGCACGCGTACTTCACTCGTACTTCAAAATTGTGCTTGAAGTACCGTGAAATTTGAGTGAATTAAAAGTGAA